TAAGTAGATTCTTCCAAGTAGCACTACCATAGCTTGGCAAAATTCGTATCGAAATTTTGCGAAGTCGTTTAAATATCAAGCTTAATAAAGAGGAATAGGTATTCGTTGCTTACAAGAGCTCTTCAGAATCTTTTATTTCAAGATAATGTAATGCTTTGAGATTTCTGAATCAAAATCCAGGTTGGTATTAATGAAAAAATTGTGATCAGTTTTGCTGCTACATTCTGAGCACAGCTAACGCAGTGTTGAGTATTAAGTCTATAGTCTAATGATGTGTTATAATTTGAAACTGAGTTAAAACTGTTTTCTTCAAAGATTACGATTTACAAATGATTTTTCTAGACTACCAAACGCATTAAGACAATTTTGGCAACGACTTCCCCTTCCGAGAAGTTTAAAACAAAGCATTTTCAGAAGTCCTTTGTGGTTACCGATTCAAGTTCTGCGGCGTGCAATTGCACACAAATTCAATTCAATTAGTCGACTCCAAAGTTTATCTCTACTCAGTTTGTATACTGCATACCACACAAGCATTTCACGAAAAGTCCATGCTTACAATTGCCAATCCATGATTTCTTTCTTTTCTTACTACTTATACTTTTCAAGTATAAAAGTGTAAGTAATTTATCTTATCTTAAGAATTTGTTTCAGTAAAACGGTTTTAGTGACTGTTTGTAACCAAGAAGTCGTGAGATGGCGCTGCGATGTGCACACTCGCACATTAAGTCACAAACGATTTGACTGTATTTTTGTATATACAAACAACAACATCCCTCCAAAACTGGCGGATTTTGCAAATCGCAGCACCCCCAAATAGTCGACTTGTAGGCGAATAACGGGATTAAAATGCGATCAGGGTCGCATAGGGCCGAAGTTCTTTCGCACCTGCGACAATCCCTAATCTTCCTTTTGAAATGCAACACGATTTGTGACACAATACGATTTGTAACAGACGAATTCTTGGGATTCCTGGCCTTTTTTCAATGCACAAAAGATCCCAAAAGGACAACAATGGCCAAGGTCTCTCATTATCCTTTCCATTATAGAAAGAAATCTTCAGGCGATT